TGGACACTCCGCCGTTCCAGGAGGACCCTGTTTGAGCGTGTTCTGGCCCCGCGCCCGTTTCGCGGCACACCCCTCACACGTTTCGTACGACACGCACGATCATTACTTCTAATGCAGAACGCCATTACCTCATCATATCGACGGATGGTCGTTTTTTACGCACGCCCCGGTAGTAGTAGTAGTCGTAGTAGTAGTAGTAGTAGTAGTAGTAGTAGTAGTAGTAGTAGTAGTAGTAGAAGAAGAAGTAGTAGTAGTAGCAGTAGTAGTAGTAGTAGTAGTAGTAGCAGTGGTGGTGGTAGAAGTAGTAGTCGTAGTCGCAGTAGTCGTCGTAGAAGTAGTAGCAGTAGTAGTCGTAGTAGTGGTAGTAATAGTAGTAGTAGTAGTAGTAGTAGTAGTAGTAGTAGTAGTAGTAGTAGTAGTAGTAGTAGTAGTAATAGTAGTAGTAGTAGTAGTAAAAGTAGTGGTAGTAGTAGTAGTAGTAGTAGAAGCAGTAATAGTCGTAATAGTAGCGGTAGTAGTAGTAGTAGTAGTAGTAGTCGTACAAATAGTAATAGTTGTAGTAGTAGTAGTAGTAATATTCGTCGTAGTAATAATAATAGTAGCAGCAGTCGTAGTAGTAGGAGTAGTAGTAGTAGTAGTAGTAGTGATAGTAGTAGTGGTAGTAGTAGTGGTAGTAGTAGTAGTAGTGGTAGTAGTACTACTAGGAGAAGTATTAAAGAAACGAAGTAGTGGTAGCCGAGTAGTAGTAGTAGTAGTAGTAGTAGTAGTAGTAGTAGTAGTAGTAGTAGTAGTAGTAGTAGTAGTAGTAGTAGTAGTAGTAGTAGTAGTAGTAGTAGTAGTAGTAGTAGTAGTAGTAGCAATGGTAGCAGGAGTGGTAGTAGAAATAATACTAGTAGTAATTGTAGTAGTAGTAGCAGTAGTAGTAGTCGTCGTAGTAGTAGTAGTAAGCATCGTAGCAGTAGTAGTAGTAGTAGTAGTAGTAGTAGTTGTAGTAGTAGTAGTAGTAGTAGTAGTAGTACTAGTACTAGTAGTAGTAGAAGTAGTAGTAGTGCTGGTAGTAGTAGTCGTAGTCGGAATAGTAGTCGCACAAGTAGTACAAGTAGTAGTAGTAGTAGTAGTAGTAGTAGTAATAATAGTAATAGTAGTAAGAACAGAAAGAAGAAATCGTAGCCGTCGTAGTGGTAGTAGTAGTAGTGGTAGAAGAAGAACGAGTAGTAGTAGTAGTAGTAGTAGTAGTAGTAGTAGTAGTGGTAGTAGTAGGAGTAGGAGTAGGAGTAGTAGTAGTTTTAAGAAGTAATAGTAGTAGTAATGGCGGAAGTAGCAACACTAGCAACAGTGATAGTAGTCGTCGTCGTAGTAATTGTTATGATAGTAAACATAACCGTTCGTAGTGAAGACGAACCGCCCCTCCGGCCCCGCCGCTCGCCTGCAGGTTGGAAACCTTGGCGCGGGCCAAGGCACCTGGGAGAAGGCCTCGCATGAACTTGCGTCCTTCAGTCTCGCCTTTCGAAGAAATCGTGGTGGAGGAGGAAAGGAGAGGGAAGGTGTGCAGGATTCATCCGGGAGTGTTCGGCGTTGTCTGAATGGTCTGGGAATTGTCGGACCCCCCTGGACCTTTCGGAGGGGAAGGAAAAGGTTGTGAAAGGATAGGGGAAGATCGCAGCACCCTGCGCGCGTGATTTCAGCTCGGCGTAACACCCAGCGGCGTATGGATGTTCCCCAGTCGGAGCGGATCGGCGGTTGAAAATGGGCAGATCCACCAACGCTCCGCAAGCATTGAGTGTAGTGTCCTCAGGTCCCTTCGAACTCTGCTGTGAATGCAGATGAATGTTGCAAATGCCCTGGCCGTTGCTGGGCACATAACTTGCACCACATAGCTGTGGATCACACGCTTATATACCTACATACACATACACACAGATGCGTATAACTATGTGTATGTATGTATGCATGAATGGAGGAATGTATGAATGTAGAGATGCATCAATGTATGAATGTATGAGTATACGAATGCATGAATGTATGAATGCGTGAATGGATGAATGAATGACTGACTGACTGAATGTGTGTCTGTATGTAGCTATGTACGTATGTATGCACGTATGTACTTGTTCATGCATGTATACATGTACGTATATATGCATGCATGCATGTCTGTATGTATGTGTGTCTGTTTGTCTGTCTGTCTGTCTGTCTGTCTGTCTGTCACTGTATGTATGCGCGTATAGATGCATGTATGTGTGTATGCATGCATGCATACATGCATGCATGAATGTATGTATGTATGCCTGCCTGTATGCCTGTAGGTGTGCATGTACGTATATATGTATGTATGCATGTATGTATGCATGCATGCATGTATGTATGTACGTATGCATACATGTGTGCATGTGGTTATGTGTTTATGTATGCATGTGTGTATGTATGTACATATGTGTATGTATGTATGCATACATGTGTGTATGCATGTATGTATGTATGTATGTATGCATGCATGCATGTATGTATGTATGTATGTATGTATGTATGTATGTATGTATGTATGTATATATGCCTGCATGCATGAATGGATGGATGGATGGATGGATGCGTGTGCGTATGTATGTATGTAATGTATATGTATGTATATGTAGGTATATGCATGTACGTGTATGTATGTGTATGTATATGTATGTATATGTGTGTATATGTATGTATGTATATGTATGTATATGTATGTATAGTAGGTATGTGTATGTATATGTATGTATATGTATGTATATGTATGTACATGTATGTGCATGTACGTATGTATGTATGTATGCCTGCATGCATGGATGGATGGATGCATTGATGGCTGGATGGATGGATGGATGCATGTGCGTATGTATGTATGTACATGTATATGTATGTATATGTAGGTGTATGCATGTATTTGTATGTATATGTATGTACACGTATGTATATGTATGTGTATGTATGTATATATTTGTATGTATATGTATATACATGTATGTATATGTATGTGTATGTATGTATGTATATCTATGTATATGTATGTATATGTATGTATATGTATGTATGTGTATGTGTATGTATGTACATGTATGTATATGTACGTACATGTATGTGTATGTATGTACGTACGTACGTACGTACGTATGTATGTATGTATGTATGTATGCGTGTATGTATGTATGTGTGCATGTATGTATGCGTACACGTATACATGTGCGTGTATACATGTATGTGTACAGGTGTCCAAATATATACTCGGCACCGACATACATATACGCAGAAAACGGGTCTGCCTTGCTCTCGGGCGCGCCAGCGGGGCGGAGTCCCGAGCGCCCCTGGAGGGCCCGAAGACGGACCCAGAGTGCCCCAAGAATAGAGGAAAAAGAACTATGCACATGCACCGATTCTGGCCAGGCCCATCCTGAGCCCAGGATCGGTGCATACGCCCTCCTACCTTGGCCAGGAAGGCATATGCACCGATCCTGGGTCAAAGATGGGCCTTGCCAGGATCGGTGCATGTGCATAATTCTCTTCGCCCGAAAGAAGGCCCCCAGCTGGGCCAAGAGGCTCCGAGAGGCCTCTCGGACGGTCCAAAGGGGGCCTCGAGTCGCCGAGCGAGCGGTCCAGGACGCTGCAGATGGCCTCCAGACGGCCCCCAAGAGGCCTCCAAGACACCCCAAGAGGCCTTCGAGAGCCCTCCCCAAGAGAGCTTCCAGAGGTACAGATCGTTCCACTCAAGGGGAACGTACGTGCTCAGAATCTGCGACTTTGCCTTCACGCCGTCCAAGAAAGCCCCACAGGCCTCCCAGATCATCCCAAGATGGCCCAGATGGCCCCGAAAAGGGCCCCGAGACGCCCCAAGAGGGCCCAAGACGGCCCAAGAAGCGCCCAAGACGGCCCAAGAGGGCCCTCAGAGGGCCCTCCAAGGGGTCCAAGAGTGGGAGCTCGAACTGAGAGTTCGAGCCCACTGCCCGAAAGGGGCCCCCGAGACAGCCAGCAGGCCCCCAAGAGGCCCCGAGACTCACCCCACAGGCCCAAAGAGAGAGCTCCAGAGGCCCCCAAAGGTCCCGAGGGGCCTCTTAACAGGCCCCAATAACTCTTACCTCGAAACTCGCAAACGACCGCGCGCCATAGCCTTCCTAACCAGATCATAGACCAAACCGGGGCACCAATTAGTACGGCGACGGTCAGAAAGTCCATACATGTTTAAGCATCGATATGCAAGAATCACGCGCGTTCAGGTTCTAACGAAGTCTCAGCCGACCTCACAGGGTCGGATGAGGATGGACATCACCCCGCAAAGATCACTGTATGGGAGCGTACTTCCGGATGGACGCTTCAGTAGTCTGCGAATGCGGAATAAACGGGCCCCAAGAGATCCCGCTACACTGAGCAAATTCACCGAGCAACTGCCCAAAAGAAAATTTTGGGAAGCTTCGGGAAGCTCGTGGCCTGTGGACCGTCTTCAGCGGTCTTGAAGATCTCCCGGGCGTCCCGAAATCCTCTCGGACTATCTCGGAAGTGGTTTCGGTCCCTTGGTAACCCTGGGGCCAATGTTGGGCAATTCAAATTATTAAAAGGTTTCCAGAGTCAGTCGAGGCCGTCTTGGGCGCGGCCTCGGATCCCTTAGGCTGTATTGTGCCTTGCCGGGAAGCGTCAAGATGTTGCACTGCACACGGTGCCAGACAGATGACGCGGCTCATTATTCTCATGGAGGCGACGTCAAGCACGACTTCGCGCCATAGGTTTAGGCGCAGGGCAAATCCCTAGTGTTTTTGGCAAGCGCCCAAGAAGGCTCCTGGGACGAAGGGCGGACACAAGGAGGACCCAGGGCAGCCCAAGGGGGGATGCCCGAGAACCCCTAAATAAGAGTCTGGCGAAGCCGTGCTGAGAGTCTCTTGTTGGATGCCTTTTGGGGGGGGGGGGGCGTTCCTGGAAAGGTCTTCGGGGTTACTCGGGGGGGAATCTTGGGCGACCCTCGGCTCGGGGGCAGCTCGCGAACTTTTCGCCCCGTTCGCACGCGCAACGACCAGAATTGCAGCACAGATGGCGCTGGGCTGCGGCTTCGCCTCCCGCATCTCGCTCAGCAGCACCTGTGCCCGCTGCCACTGCTCGCCCTTCTCGCACGCGCTGATCCCAGCACTGCAGCTGACTAGGGCGAACCCGTGGACTACGTTCACGCAAGCTCGTCGGCGAGGTTCGCGGGGTGGGGTCGATGCAGAGATGTTGCCGACAGGCTTTCAGGATGACCCTGGGGTCGCGGTCGTCGTCGCCACCGTTGTCCTCGCCTCCCTGGGCGGGCGTCGTGGACGGGTCAGCCACACTTTGATGGCCCTAAGGGGGCTGAGAGATGGCCCCAGATGGCTCCCCAAGCCTGGGATCTCGCACGCTTCGCCGCCGCGTGGACGGGATCGTCCACGCCGCCAGGGCCTCCAAGGATCCCCGACGGCGCGATGCGCCCCCCGAAGGCTCCAAGGTGGCCCGGAGGGCTCACATACGGGCCTTGAGGGCCCCAAGGGTGCTCAAGGATGGCCCCCGACCGATGCGGCCCCGGGTAGCTCCAGGATGGCCCTGGAGGGCTCGCACGCGGGCTTGGATGGCCCCAAGGGGTGCTAAGAGATGGCCCCAAGGGCGCCTCCAAAAGCACGGGTGCTCGCATGCTCCGCCGCTGCGCGGACGAGATTGCTCGAGGAGTATCGAGGAGGAGGGGGAGAAAGAGGAGGAGGAGGAGGAGGAGGAGGAGGAGGAGGAGGAGGAGGAGGTGGAGGGGGAGGAGGACAAGCTAGGTACGCTCGCGTCATATCTGACGTCATACCCTTCCCTCCCATCCCTTACCATGGCGCTGATTTTCTCTATCCGCGGACGCGTGTCGTAGCGGACCTGTGGCTCCGCGCGCGCGTGCGTAGTGGGTGGTGGTGCACGTGCGTGCGTGCGTGCGTGCGTGTTTGCGTGGTTGTGGTGGTGGTGGTGGTGGTGGTGGTGGTGGTGGTGGTGGTGGTGGTGGTGGTGGTGCTGGTGGTGGTGGTGCTGGTGCTCGTGTTGGTGGTGGTGCTGGTGCTGGTGGTGGTTGTGATGGTGGTGGTGATGGTGGTGGTGGTGGTGGTGGTGCGGCGCGGTGGTGGCGGGCGGATGGGCGCGCGAGAAAGAGGCCCGCGCTGGGGCGAGAACGCCATCCTGAACGACGGAGGCCAAACACCGATCCGAAAATGAGGCCCACGCTGCAGCGGGAGCACGATTCGGAACGATTCGGGAGCAGAAATGAGGCCGGCGCCTCAGCGAGAGCATCATTAAAAAAAAACGCAGGCGAAAACCCGTTTCCCGGGAATCCTGTGTGTAAAAAAACAATACGCGGGGGGCGTTCGGCCCGAAAATGACGCCGGCGCCTCAGCGAGAGTCGTTTCCCGGGATTTCCCGGGCATCCTGTGTGTAAAAAAACATACGCGGAAATGCGCGGCCATCACCCGGACGCCATCAGGGGAAGAGGGAGAGTATTTTCATATTGAGTAATTGTGGAGGAGGAGGAGGAGGAGGAGGAGGAGGAGGAGGGGAGGAGGAGAGAGGAGGAGGAGGGGAGGAGGGACGGAGGAGAGAGAGGGAGGAGGAGGAGGAGGAGGAGGATGAGGAGGAGGAGGAGGAGGAGGAGGGGGAGAGGAGGAGGAGGAGGAGGAGGAGGAGGAGGAGGAGGAGGAGGAGGAGGAGGAGGAGGAGGAGGAGGAGGAGGACGAGGAGGAGGAGAAGGAGGAGGAGGAGGAGGAGCTATTTTTACCCGACGAATGGGCTATGACTGCCTGGAAGCGCGAGGCACATAGAACTGTGGCAACCCGTCGCTGGATCGGGTCTCGTATCGATCCTTCTCTGGTCTGCTATGCGGGCGGGTGCGCGCGCTCGGTCGATGCTGCAACACGCGCGCGGCGGGGCAGGCTGCTGCAAGGGTTAGCTACGCAACATGCAGGGGGCAACTCGCAGAGAGTTGCCGTCCTCGGATACACAGAAAACTGCAACGCACGGCGCACAGGAGGAAGAAAAGGCTGCAATATTCATTGAGCTGTCCAATGAAGAGGGAGGTGCAGCAGCTCACTCGAACTCGAACGGACAGTAGTCATCATCCTCGTCGACTGGGCTCGCCGCCACCAGGGGCTGAGATGGGAAGAGCGCCGTGCCCCCGATCACTTCACCACGAACAAACACGATCGGGCCCGTCCCACAAGCCTGCACATCCGAGCTTCCCTGTCCTACTGCGTCAGGATGGCGAGCCAGCTCGCCAGCTCGTCTTCCAACCAACCAGGCAGTGCCACACCAGTGTGGCGGTTTGCCACTCCCTCCGCGATGTACGCGTTCGTGATGACTCCTCTCATCGGCCATACTGGCGCGGCCACCTGGAGCTTCACCTCGTCGGTGTCGTGGCACCGCTCGACTCTGATCGCGGCCACGTCGAGCTCGAGAGTGGTCCTCGTCACCGTGGGCTCGGTGCCGTTCGGTGGAATGATTTGCTGCATGTGCTGGCTTGTGCCTTCCTTGCTTTTCCACCGACGTCGCACTCCGCCAGACTCTCGAGCAGGCCGACTGCAAGGCTCGCCACTGGGCTGCCCGCCTCGCGCAGCGCCTCGGCGCCTCGCGGGCGGGCCGCCCACGCCTCCTTGCGGTAGTCCTCCATCGCTGCCTCGAGCTTCTGGATCGCGCGGCGCTCTTTGGGGAGTGCGAAGGCGTCGATGGTCGCGGCGGCCGCGAGCCTCAGCCTGAACGAGTTCTGGAACGCGAGCTTCGTCAACGTGGCCAGGCGCTGCTGGAGGTTCTGATCCTTCGATGTTCACTTCTTCTCGGTGTGGTTCCCGCGCCGTCGGCGCCTGCCACCTCTGCGTCCGCCTCCGCCGCCGCCCTTGCCCGTTTGGGCGTCCTTGCCCTTGCCGTCCTTTCCGTCCTTGCCTTCCGCCTCGCCCTCCGTCGTCCGGGCGCTCATGTCCTCGTCGCCCCTGCGAGGCGTCTCGGGGGGGGCTATCCGCCAGAATTTTCTGGCCCACAGCTGCACGAGGCACGGGAAGGGGCCCTTGAGGAGCCACTTGAGGGTTGGGCTGGCCTCGCTGGGGAGCGCCGCCGCCGCCGTCATGATCTTCGGGTTCCTCAGCACGTTCAGGAACAACGCCGGTGTGTTCGCGGCAGTCACTCGCGAGGGGGGGTCGAAGCCCGTCCGCCCGCGCGGCCAGGTACTGCTCCTGCACGCGGTGGTCGCTGCGCAGGTAGTCGCCGCCGAGGTTCTCGCTGTCGATGTCGCTGTTCACCTAGCTCGGCTAGTCGTAGAAATCCTGCGCGAAGCCGCGCTCGTTCCTCCTGAGTATCGCCTGGTCGCCACGAGGGTGGTGGCAGCGCAGCTCGCCCTGTGGGCCCACGAGCGCTGCGGGCCGGTTGCGGCGAGAACTTCTCGAGCCGAGAGCCTGACGGACAAAGGGGGCGTGGGTTCTCACGTGTCTTCTCAGCTCCAACGGGTCTGAATAATGGACGCGACATCCTGGCTGGCTCTCCCAGCGGGCAGGCTCAACTCGGACGGGGCCCAAGCATGATGATGTCTCGGTAGGTCGGCGATGCATCTTCCAGCCATCCAGGAACGAAATAGGCGGCGCCGAGCGTGGTCAATGTTCGCAAAAGTCGCATCACACTTGATGCATCTGTTATCCAAGCATACCTGGGACAGAATCGGAGGCGCGCCGTGGCCTGGGGGCGTCGTAGCATTGATCTGATGCTTGACCAGCTCGCGGTGCGTTGATAACCGTGCCCGGCACCCCTCAATGCCACACCGAAGGGGGGCAAACTCCTCCTTCTCACTCTCGGTGTCCCCCAGGACCTCATCCGTCGGGAGGTGGGTCTCGAAATGCTCGGGGGTGGGGGGGCACTCGCTGCTTTTCAATGAAGAACGAGTCACCCGAAAATCACACTTACAGAAAATCTCTGTGGCCTTGAAATCCTTGTTGAATAGCGCCCCAAGTGCACGGCCCCCCCAGACATCCCTCAACTCGTGCCCCACGGGGTGCGCCAAGATCGTTAAGGTCCTCATAGAGCTGGTAGGCCCGAGGGCGAACATTCGGGGACGAGTTGAACTAGCCTTTCTCCAACATCGCCAATTCTGCAACCGCCTCGCCCGCAACGCGGGCACGTGCCTCGAACTTGCATTATCCGAAGAAGGCGCTGAGGTAATGGCGATGATGCTCCGAGTTTATCATGATAGCCTGCCACCACCCCAACCTCCTTATCATCAGTTCAACCCCTGCGGGGGGAGGATCTCCCACTCCTCAAACACGGCCATGGACGTCATCGATCAGCGGGCGCCGTCATCGTGTTCCGCGCGCGCCGCTCCAGCCACCATCGCCCTCAGCTTCTTGGCAAGGGATGCGTGGAGAGCTCGTATCTCCAGGGGGCGAACACGTACGCCTCTAGGCCTGACCATGCACGACCTGCGATGCTCGCCAGGAGCATGCTGCGCTTGCTCCGCCAGGGGCCCGGCGCGGACCAATAGTGTCTAAGATTGCACCACCCAGTCGAGCCAGCCCTTATACGCGCGTGTACCTCGCGCTCGTTGCTGCCGTTTACGTTTATGTACCCACCCAAGTGAATAATTTCCATCACCGCCCTCCCCATGACTCTCTCCTCCGCCATCTCGGTGTCTTTGATAATAGCCAAGTGCACGACCGTTTCTTGTTTAGCCGCGCGTTGTGTGCACCCTCCTTCGGCCAAGCACTTATCTAGAATCTTGTTGTCGAGATGGTCGAGGCTCTGGGCCTCCCGCGCAGTGCCACTCGGCACGATCAAGATGCGGATCAGGTCATCAATGAAGCCTCCGAATGCCACGTCGCCCCAGCGAGTCTGACCCGAGTGCTCTCCTGGTTCATCCCTCGTCGGGCTGTCTAAGGGGGCGCTCTGGCATGCCAAGCAATCTCCCACGATCTGCCCGAGGGGGATTCCATGGGCAGTTCTGGCTCGCTCGAGTCGCCCATCCTTCCGCCCGTCGTCGGGGTCAGCGCGACGTCGCCGTCGCATGCCTCCAAGCATAGCACGCCTGCACTCAAATGGCGCGCAAGAAGCCCACCATCATATTCATCGGCTCCACGAGACCGATGTGCATTATATAGGCGTGCGTGGTGTCCTGTGCCGAATGCGTTTCTCACGTCGTAAGATTTGACCAAATAGTAGTATTAGCACCCACGTAGTTTCCACATGACGAGTTTAACACTGGTCATGAGTCCCTCCCTCCCCCCATGGATGGCGCCTCCGCACGCCGATGGGGGGCTCGAGCCTGCTGCCGTAATCCGCGAACCCGACCCGTGAGAGCAGCCTCCACCAATGGCAAAAGCAGCGCAATAGCCGAAGACGCCGCGCGATGTCCAGAACAGCGTTGCCCGTGAGTGTCTTGCCAGGCTTACTGATTGCACTTGCATGGCTTGTGCGTGCTCGTTGTGGTAAGAGCAGTCGTGCGCGCGCGTGCGCAAGTAACTGAAATCGCATGTCATGTCATGCGCTGGCCTGGACCTCGTCTCCCACCAGCTAGCGGTGTCGGGGCTGCCGAGCGGCCTGGGCCTCGAAGTCCAGGAGGTCTGGGTTTCGCACGCGCCGCGTGGGCCTAACCCCTCGCGCGGAAGGCCCGGTCGAAAGAGGTGGGCGGGGAAGAGTAGCAGCTTCGTGATTTCCACGGGCCACGACCATGGCGGGGCGCGTCGTCGGTGATGGCAATGACGCAGTCGCCTCTGAAGGTGATCTAAGTCGCCAGCCGCCCGCTCGAAATCCTCGCCCGTAGGCAATGGGGGGCCTCTGGGCCCGAAGGGGGGGGGGCCCATCCAGGGGGGTCTCGATCAAGGCCTGGATCGCGTCTGGATTCACGTGCTTGCCTAAGATCGCGTTGGCCGCCGCCAAGCCCCCGTCCACCCCTGGCTGCTGGAGGGCCCCCCGAATGTCTGCAGCGCTAGGGCGGCTCGTCGGGGGGGCGAGGTGGCTCCTCTGACGGGGCCCCATCCTGGCACCAGCTCTGAGACGAACGAGGTTGCCTACTCTAGCCTGGCCCCGCGCCTCCCACGCCTCCCGAATCTCCTGCTCCAGGGCTCCCCTCCTCCACCACTCCTGCCATCGAGCGCGTGACTTGATCGCCCTGTCGATGTTTCGCAATGGTTCGCTCGTGATCGTGAAGCCGAGGTCCCGCAGGGTGGCTCGTTCCTCAAGCGATCTACGCCGTTCAGCTTTAGCCTCCATGGGGCCAGTCTGGGACCGACCTCTCGGCCGAGAAGTACTCGCGAGCGACCTCGCGGAGCGTTTGTGCAACCGCGCCCGCGCGTCGCGTCGCCTCGCCGTCGGTCAAGAGGGCGCGCCGGATCCCCCTCTCTTCCCAAACCTGTCCCAATCGTTCCAGAAACTCACCTATTCGATACCCCATTTGCGAAGCCGCCGCCAGCGCCCCCCAGTCCCACTGGATGTTCTGCTGCTGCTGCTGCTGCTGAGGGGCTCGGGCGGGGAGGGATATGCATAAACGCATGGGGACATGATCGACGACGTGGGGGAGGGCCTGGATGCGTTTCTGAAACCTCCAGAACATGTGGATTTGAACTCCCGTGCCCAGAAGTGCTCGAGGGCCTAGGAAGTAATCGATCCGACTCCTTGCCCCTCGTAATCCGTAGTAAGTTTGTCCCAGGTCGAAAACTGTGCTAAGGAAACACATGTGGCTGGACGCGTACGCTTTTCGAACTACAGTGGCAACTTCATCCTCGTGTTCGGCCTGAAAGGGACCCAATGTATCATCATGGACACGCTCCTGTCCCTTTCGTCCCATCCTCATATTCATGTCAGCGACGACACTAGGAGTGATGCGCCCTGGGGATTCGTCGATACCCTCTTGAATCCAAGCTGTAAGTCGTCTACATGTAGTACGCCATACTCGGATGCGACCTGCCGAACTAGACCTTGGTGGGTAGTAGCCTACTATAAGTCTAAGTCGTAATGAGCCACGTTGAACATCAACGCTGCCTGCTTTACCCTGCAAGTGCTGGGGCGGGTGGCTGATCCTGGTGATCTGGTGCTTCTTAAACTGGCGGCTCGACAACGCGATCGCAACGCCCGCAGAAGAATGTGTACTGCCCCCTCTGCCCCAACCCAAGTGGACCCAGTGATGATCGGGCGTGCGTTCACAGTGGTGAGTGTACCCTAGGCGGGTGCGGACTTTGGTGCCTGGCAGGGGAATGGCGGCGGTCTTTGCAAACTCCATAGACATAGCTTCCGCACGTCCTGCCCTCAAGAGTGTGAAAAGGTTGTATCCCACAGATGTAGCACGCACACATGATTATGACGATGGTGATGAAGGTGCTGCCTCCTCCTCTGCGATCCTCGCGGCCCGACCTAAGTCCTCGTGCTGGTCCTTGATGCTCTTCAGGCCCCGACCCATCGTCCCGCTCTGGGACACTATGTCCCATTCGTCCCGATTCGTCATCTGCTTCTGGTCATCCGCCTCGCTGCTGATATCGTCCCTCACCCGTCCTCCATCGCCCCGACCTCCCATCGCTGCCTACCATGGGCCTGCGCGGGCGCACCGCGGCGGTGCAGCGCGAAACCGCACCGCAACCACAGGAAAGAGGCGTCCCGACCGTGGGAGGATCGGGTCGCTCGAAGAGGGGGGGGGGCTAAGGCCGCCGTCATCGTGGCCTGAGCCGTCCGCGGCCTTGGAGGAGGAGGAGGAGGAGGAGGAGGAGGAGGAGGAGGAGGAGGAGGAGGAGCAGGAGGGGAGGAGGCGGAGGAGGAGGAGGAGGAGGAGGAGGAGGAGGAGGAGGAGGAGGAGGGAGGGGAGGAGGAGGAGGGGGAGGGGGAGGGGGGAGGAGGAGGAGGAGGAGGAGGAGGAGGAGGAGGGAGGAGGAGGAGGAGGAGGAGGAGAGGAGGAGGGGCAGGGAGGGGGGAGGGAGGGATGAGAGGAGGGAGGGAGGGGGGGGAGGAGGAGGAGGGGAGGAGGAGGAGGGGTAGGAGGAGGGGGAGGAGGAGGGGGGAGGATGAGGAGGAGGAGGAGGCGGAGGAGGAGGAGGAGGGGAGGGGGGGAGGAGGAGGGGAGGGAGGAGGAGGAGAAGGAGGGAGGAGGGAGGGGGAGGAAGGGGGAGGAGGAGGGGGAGGAGGAGGGGGAGAAGGAGGATGAGAAGGAGGAGAGGAGGAGGAGGAGGAGGAGGAGGAGGAGGAGGAGGAGGAGGAGGAGGAGGAGGAGGAGGGGGGGGAGGAGGAGGAGGGAGAGGAGGAGGGGAGGAGGAGAGGAGGAGGGGAGGAGGAGGAGGAGGAGGAGGGAGGAGGAGGGAGGAGGAGGAGGAGGAGGAGGAGGAGGAGGGGGCAGGAGGAGGGAGGGAGAGGAGGGGGAGGAGAGGAGGAGGAGGAGGGGGAGGAGGAGGGGGAGAGAGGGGAGAGGAGGAGAAGGGGAGGAGGAGGAGGAGGAGGAGGAGGGGGGGGAGGAGGGGGGGAGGAGGGGGGAGGAGGGGGGGGAGGAGGAGGGAGGAGGAGGGGAGGAGGAGGAGGGAGGAGGAGGAGGAGGAGGAGGAGGAGGAGGGGGGGAGGAGGGGGAGGAGGGGGAGGAGGAGGGGAAGGAGGAGGAGGAGGAGGAGGAGGAGGAGGAGGAGGAGGCATGCTGTTAGTAATGCTTAGCGCTGTTGCTTGCTGTTGCTGCTCACCTTCGGGGTGTAGCGGGGGCGACCTGGGCAGCCCTGGGATGGTCTTGAGAGCCGCCTCGAAAAGAAAGGCGCACAAGAAAGCCGCACCCAGTGGAGGCCAGTCCACAAGAAACCTTCCGCAAGAAACCCAATGGGACGCACAAAGTCATACTAGTACTAGATGTTCTCCTTGGAGGCGAGCGTCCGACCCAAACATATAGTATACCCATCTTGCAGTATATCGTTTCCCGAGCGTTGTGGCCAGAAAGCGCCCGCCACGACGCATATACTGTAAGATTTCTCGGTGCGCGCATCGCCCCTGGCGGGGCGACGCACATATAGTATAAGTATGTTGGGGTGACGCCTACCGAACCCTGCGACCCCAAGACGCCCACTGATTCTTGGTGTGGGAGCGTCACGCTTTCCTTCGCAAAGCCACCGAAGCGCAAGAAACCCAGGGCACCCTCCCTGGAGGCAAGAAAGGTGTCTCTTGGCATGGGTCTCCACTGTAGGCATCTGGGCCCTGTTTTCCAACGACGTTCCATGGTGGCTGTGGCCGCCCGAGGAGGTCGAAGGATGCGCTCAGACTGGAGTCCTTTCAAAGGACCGCAGCAAATGAGAAGCGCGTGGGGGCCTTCTTTTCCTTGCTGGACGGCGCGATCCCAGAGCTTCCTGAGGGGGCCTCCCTCGGAAGTCTCTTGAAGGCGGGCTTCATGGTTCCATGGCGGCTGTGGCCGCCCGAGGAGGTCGGAGGATGTGCGCGGGCTGCGTGGGCTGGGGAGGAGGTCGAAGGCACTGCGGAGCTTATGCCCCCGATGACGGGCCTGTCTGGAGCACTCTCAGGGAGAACTCCCGGACGCGCCGACCATTAGGACCAGAGCCCTTGCAAAGAACGGGAGACCATACGAGGCGCATCGGCGCCTTACTTTTTTGGGAGGCCGGCGCGGTCGCAGAGCTCTCTGAGGGTCCTTCTCTCGGAAGCCTCCTGGGGTCTGATTTGGAGCTCTTGGAGGGCCTCCTAGGGCGTCTGGGGGGTGTCTTGGGGGCCAGCTGGCGGTTTCTGGGATCATTCTGGAGCGGAGGGCGGGAAATGTCAGTTTGAGTTCGTGGGACCCTCTTGGGGCCGTCTTGGGCCATCTTTGGGGTCTCTCGGGCCGTCTTGAAGCCCTCTTGGGCCGTCTGGGAGCTCTCTTGGAGCCTCTTGGGCCGTCTTGGCGCGATCTTGGGAGCCTCTGGGGCCGTCTTGAAGCGTCGACTCCAGAAAAGGCGAGGACGCTGAAACCTCTCGGAAACTCAAGGGACATCCGCTCCGGGGCCCTGCTTGGGGGGCCTCTCTGGGAGCTCTCTTGGGCCGTCTTGGGGCCCTGTTGGGCCGTCGGAAAGCCATATCGGCATCCTCTTGTCGGGGATGACGGAAAGCGCGCGTTAGCGTGCGGTCCGTTAGTCGGAAGAAATTGGACTTAGGGGAGTTCGAGGGGGGTGGCATCGCCAGGCCCGGATGACGGAAAGCGCGCGTTAGCGTGCGGTCCGTAAGTCGGAAGAAATTGGACTTGGGGGAGTTCGAGGGGGGTGGTATCGCCAGGCCTGGATGACAAGAAGCGCGCGTTAGCGTGCGGTCCGTTAGTGGGAAGAAATTGGACTTGGGGGAGTTCGAGGGGGTTGGCATCACCAGGCCCGAGATCTAATTGCCCTTCCGCCTCGTTTTTTCTCGAGTAGGACGGCCTTCAAGGCTTAACAACAGCGTTCCGCTCGAGGCATCATCGGAGCACGCTTCTTGGGCGCTTCTTGGGCCGTCTTAGGCGCCAAGACAGCCCAAGAAGCGGCCAAGACGGCGCCAAAGACGGCCCAAGACGGCCCAAGAAGCGCCCAAGACGGCCCAAGAGCGCTCCAAGAGAGCCCAAGACCGCCCAAGGCGGCCCCAAGACGTCCCAAGAGGCCTCCACGACGCCCCAGGAGGCGCCCACGAGGCGTCCCAAGAAGGCCCCACGAGGCCAGAATCATTGATTTTCTGATGGAAAACGTGCATTTTTAGCGTATACGGCTTTTCGCTTTTCATGGCGTTGAAGACGGTCCAAGAGGCCCCCAAGACCGGCCCAAGACGGCACAAGATGTTGCCAAGAAGCCCCCAAAATAGCCCAAGAGGGCGCCAAGACGGGCCCAGAGGCGCCCAAGACTGTCCAAGAGGCCCCCAAGAGCGCCCCAAGAAGGCCCAAAGGGCCCCCAAGAAGGCCCCAAAACGGCCCAAGAGGGCGCCAAGACAGCCCAAGAGGCGCCAAGACGGCCCAAGACAGCGCCAGGACGGCCCCAAGAAGGCCCAAACCTCTTCGTTTTTTATCGAGTAGGACGGCCTTCGGGGCTTCAAAACAGCGTTTCGCTCGAGACATCATCGGAGAACGCTCCTTGGGCGCTTCTTGGGCCGTCTTAGGCGCCTAAGACAGCCCAGGAAGCGGCCAAGACGGCGCCCAAGACGGCCAAAGACTGCCCAAGAAGCGCCCAAGACGGCCCAAGAGCGCTCCAAGAGAGCCCAAGACCGCCCAAGACGGCCCCAAGACGTCCCAAGAGGCCTCCACGACGCCCCAGGAGGCGCCCACGAGGCGTCCCAAGAGGGCCCCAAGAGCCAAAATCATTGATTTTTTAGGAAAACGGCATTTTTAGCATATGCGGCTTTTCGCCTTTCATGGCGTTGAAGACGGTCCAAGAGGCCCCCAAGACCGCCCCAAGACGGCCCAAGATGTTCCCAAGAGGCCCCCAAAATAGCCCAAGAGGGCGCCAAGACGGGCCAAGAGGCGCCCAAGACTGTCCAAGAGGCCCCCAAGAGCGCCCCAAGAAGGCCCAAGAGGCCCCCAAGAAGGCCCCAAAACGGCCCAAGAGGGCGCCAAGACGGCCCAAGAGGCGCCAAGACGGCCCAAGACGGCCCCAGGACGGCCCCAAGAAGGCCCCGAGAGGCCCCCAAGAGAGCCCAAAGACGGCCAAAGGCAGCCTAGTCCCTTCACCCCCGCAGCCCAGAAGCTCCCAGGAGGCCCCCAGAGGCCCCCGAAAAGCCCCAAAAGGTCACCCAAGAGGCTCCCCAAGAGCCCCCCAAGAGGCCCAAAATACTCCCAAAGGCTCTTAGCACCGCGGCTCCCAAGAGCGAGCGGTGACGTAATCGAGCTGATAAGACCAAAGCTCCCAACAGAGAGCTGCGGCGTAATAAGTTCTTGCAGCCAGGGCACATGGACGGGCGGCAACGCGTGGACAACGAGCGGTCCACGCAAGGACAACGCGGGGTCCTGGAAAACTGGCAGCCCAAACGCGGAAAACGCAACGCGACCCGACCGCCCCCTCCAAAACAAGAAACGTGCTCAAAGGAAGCTCCGCGACTCTCCGAGGCTGAGATAGGACAAGAGCGAGGGGAAGGGAGTCAATAAGAGGTGTAAGAGCGGACGAGCCAGCGATCCCGTGCGCTCTGAAAGTAAGTGCGCTTTCCGTCCCCGTGCCAAGCAAGTCTAATTGCCCTCCCGCCTCGTTTTTAATCGAGTATGACGGAACGCGCGCGTTAGCGTGCGGTCCGTAAGTCGGAAGAAATTGGACTTGGGGGAGTTCGAGAGGGTTGGCATCGCGGGCCCCGGATCTAATTGCCCTCCCGCCTTGTTTTTCATCGAGTAGGACGGCCTTCGGAGTTTAAAACAGCGTTTCGCTCGAGACATCATCGGAAAACGCTTCTTGGGCGCTTCTTGGGCCGTCTTAGGGTTCTCAGACAGCCCAAGAAGCGGCCAAGACGGCGCCCAAGACGGCCCAAGACGGCCCAAGAAGCGCCCAAGACGGCCCAAGAGCGCTCCAAGAGAGCCCAAGACCGCCCAAGGCGGCCCCAAGACGTCCCAAGAGGCCTCCACGACGCCCC